AGAGCGGGGTTTCGAACGGGGCGTCGGCCCCCCTGTGTGTCCGCAGGCGTCAGACACAGCAGGAGCCTTGGGCCTTCGCTCATGGTCACACCCCAGCCGTGCAGAGCTGGAGCCGTGGCCACCTCTCCCTCCGGGCCGCCCTTCTCTCCCCTGACCGCTCACGGGAGGGTCACGAGGAAGAACACGTCGAACTCTTGGCTCTTTTGTAAGTCCTTCCGTAAACGAGGAGCCTGGAGCTTAGAGTGACCTGGTGACTTCCCCAAGGCCGCATGATGGCGGAGCCCCAGGCCAGAGTGGGGTTTGCCGTCCCAGCTCCACAGCCTGGTTCTCATTCAAGACAGTGAGGCCTCCACATCTTTCTCTGGGGATTTCTGGAGCAAAGGCCCTTGATCAAGACCCCTGCCTGACCCACTTCATACAGGATTCTGCTCCGTCTGTCAGCAGACCTGGGCGTCCCGGTGTGTAGATCAGAGAAGGCAGGGTGACCGAGCCCCCGTTGGCACAAGTGACAGAGCCTGCTAAAGAAAGCTGCCGCTCAGGACCCACGGCCCCTCCTCCCTTCTGTGAGCTTAATTGCTTCGGGGAGAACAGATTCTGTGTCCTAGATAACGCGAACCTCCTGCCAGGCAATTGCCGCAGACAGCCTGGGTGGTCAGTGGGGTACAGAGGGACGAACGGGGAGAGACCAGAAGGTGGGGTCCGTGGGGCGGGGCTTTGCAGGTGAGAGAGAGTGGGCTGTCTCCCAGGCGAGAGTTCTCGCTCTGCTCAGAGCCGTGGGGCTCTGGGCACCTGGCGGGCCATCTTTGTACCCTGTGTCCTCTGTGATGGGGAGGAGACACCACCATCCCCAGGGGTTCAGCACCCCTAGCAGGGGGTGTGGCTCCCGCTCCGGGGACTCTGGCTGCTGGCTTCGTTGGCTTTTATTAGTACCCACCCTTAACCCTGAATTCCCTCTTCGCGATGGCTTTTACACCCTGGGAGGCTGAGTCTCAGGCCATTCGTGAGCTGTCCCCACAGGTGGTGGCTCAGCCACACCAGACCCTGGTTTTCTGCCTCCAGAGCCCTTTGGTAGGGCCTGGATACCCAGGCACTCGGCCCCGCCTGGGGACTGTCCTGCCCCCAGAGTAAGAGTCCAGGTGGGTGCTGGCTGAGGAGCACGGGAGAGGTGCACAGGGCACTTTGAGGACACGCCTGTGAGCCATCTGCCGTCCCCCGCCCTTCCTGGCTCTGGTCTTGCAACAGGAGAGCGGGGAGCCTCCCGGGCCCCGGACCCCAGCCCTGTGGCCCGCCTGCTGGCACCAGTCCCCAGGGCCCGTTTTCTCTGTAAGATGGGGTGCCAGTACTGGCTGCTCCACAGATGGCAGGTCAGAGCTGGGAGGGGTATTTCCTTGGCTCACGGGAACCAGAACCCGGTGCGCGTGTGCCGTGTCCCGTGTCCGTTCCCAGGGCCGGCTCCGAGCCTGGCACTGCCAGGCACTCTTGTCCTCCTGGACCTCGTGGGAGCTCCGTCCATCATGCTCGCGTGACTGTAGGAGCTACGTTTGGTTCAGGCGCCCGGCTTCCCAAGAGGCCGGTGCTGGCGGTGGCGGTGGCATAGCGGAGCGATCCCATGACGGCAGCAGCCGGCGCTGACCGTGATGCCACGACTCGCAGCTGTCCCTGTCCCCGCTGGCTGATGAGGGAGGAAGCACAGCTCGGGGTCACGGGGCTGAGTCTGGAGCCCTGGCCCGCCCTCAGCAAGGTCAGGGACGGAGCCCAGACCGGGACCGAGGACCGAGCGACGGTTGCCCGGGCCCCTGCGTCACCTGGCTGCCTGCATGTGTTTC